AGCTGTGCAGTTTTATTGGCAAGATTTCTTTGTACCTTTCAGCTCCATTCAGAAGCAGTTTCCTGCAATGCAACCAGCTTTTGTTTGAAGACAGAAGCTTTAATCTTGTGCTGAAAATATCCAGCTCCTCCGGGCACCAATGCTTGTTTGGTCACATCTGGAGTACCCATGACCGGTAATGTGATAGCAAGCGTTTGTTCCCACCTATTCCTTCACTGCTATGCCTAGGAATACTACACTAAGGGTACGTCTACACTTACCGGAGGGTCCGACGGCAGGCAATCGATGTTCTGGGATCGATTTATCGCGTCTGGTTTAGACGCGATAAATCGATCCCGGAAGTGCTTGCCGTCGACGCCGGTACTCCAGCTCGGCGAGAGGAGTACGCGGCATCGACGGGGGAGCCTTCCTGCCGCGTCTGGACCCGCGGTAAGTTCGGACTAAGGTACTTCGAATTCAGCTACGTTATTAACGTAGCTGAATTTGCGTACCTTAGTCCGAAGTGGGGGGGTAGTGTGGACCAGGCCTAATACTAGACAAGCTTGACTTGTTTGCTTACTCGATGAGGAAAGGGCAAGATCCTACAAATGTTATTTTTAATGTATTGACCCAAGACATTGTCTGGGTATACCACAAGGAGGACAGGAGACTTGTTATGGGTTTTAATCAGGCCGCAACTTTATTATATGTCTGGGACTACCCGGCAGATAAAGTGTACAGTGCAGGCAAATCCATGCTTATTCAAATCAATTCTCTGGGGCTTTCACCAGCCCCCCTTTGTTTAATCCATGCTTATTCAAATTAGTTTTCCAGGGCTTTCACCAGCCCCCCTTTGTTTCCATCCAGGTCCCCCAGCCGACCCATGGCTTGGACCTTACCATCCACCAGCCTTGTAAAAGGGTTAAGGAGGGCTATGAGAACCTGAACCAAAACTTTTTTAATTTTATGCATCTTCGTCTTCCCATCCAGAACCACAGACGAGAAGTGCAAAAATACTACATGAAAAACTGTGCTTGCAGTATTTCTGTCTTAACAAGGAGTGCCAGAAAGGTTGCATCAAAAGCCTGTTCTCATGAGAAGTCTTGCTCAGTTTTGCAAGCTCAAGTGATTAGGACAGAGCAAGTGAGAACCCTGACTTTTTGAGGTTCACTTATCACTACTGCAACTAGCAACAAAATCATTGGGATAAAAACAAGAACAAAAAAAATAGGGTGGAATAAGATGGTGCAAAAATAGTGAAAAGTAAGAAAGATGTATCAAAGTAGAAAACATCAAGCAGAGAAGAAATGCAAGTTATACAATCTAATCTTTTTTAAATTATTGAACTGGAGAATAATGAGATAATTGCACGCCAAATTAAGTTAACTGATACATGTGATCAGTTATGACATGAGTTATGAACATCCCATAGTTATAGCAAAACTGCACAAGATTTTGTAGTAAGTACTGTTCAGTATACAGTAGTTTCACTGAAAAATAATGGTAACTATAAACTACCCCGTCATATAATAATTATGCAAACAACTCATGTTACCATGCTGGTTAAAGAAGGCTAACAGCCAGTATTGAATTACTGACCTCACAGTGTTTGCAAAAGAAGGTCCGAGCAGATGAGGCTAAGAAATGCATTTACCAAAGCAGGAAGAAGGAATTCTGAAGGGAATCAGAATCATGTCAGCACAGGTGGTCAAGAAATTAAAGTACGGACAAAACTCCAGGAGCAGACAGAATAATCCCAGAAGTCTGAAGAAAGTCACAGGAAAAAAAAGAGGGATTTCATTAGTGAGTATAGTTAAACTAGGAATAGTTTAAAATAGGTTCTCTTTTCGGAAACTTGCATTTTCAGGATCAGTTTAATATTCAAAGAACCTGGTTAAAGTTTCTGGCTTGCTTGCTGGGGAGCCCACCCTCCTCTGAATACACTAAAAAGAGTGACCAAATTTCTAAATACTTATCCTCTTTCTGGTGCTTCTCTTATGTAGTACTTGGTGTGAAAGCTTTTCCATACAAGAACAGCATTTTGCACAATTTCAAAAGGGGAGAAGTCACATTTGTCCAATAATTAAATAGGTTTTAAAATTTAATTTTTCTTCAAACCAAACAAGCTGTAGTCATATCTCCAAATGCACATGCAGAGTGCAGAAAAGCATGCCCAATTTAAGCCAAATCCCCTAAATGCACACACAAACTGAGGTAAGGATGCATATACACAACATCACACATTGAGTATTAATCAAAACATAAGAATGGCATAAGAATGTTAAGTTTATCAATTAATTCCAAAACCACCTCTAGTGACACTTCAATCTGTGACAGTTCCTCAGATTTGTCACCTACAAACGCCGGCTCAGGTTTGGGAATCTCCCTAACATCCTCAGCCATGAAGACTGAAGCAAAGAATTTGTTTAGTTTCTCCGCAATGACTTTATCGTCTTTAAGCGCTCCTTATCTATCTCGATCATCGAGGGGCCCCACTGGTTGTTTAGCAGGCTTCCTGCTTCTGATGTACTTAAAAAACATTTTGTTATTACCGTTTGAGTTTTTGGCTAGCTGTTCTTCAAACTCCTCTTTGGCTTTTCTTATTACATTTTTACACTTAATTTGGCAGTGTTTGAGTTCCACAAATGGAAAGCACTATGGAAATGCAAATTGCTGTAACAACTTAATAATTGCTGTGTACATACTAACATGATAGGAGCTGTTAGAGTTTATCAAGTGTAAGTGTTTTTAAGTCACCTTAATTCACATACATGATAAACTAATCTATTCTGTCAACTTCTAAATACCTGCATGACAGATTTCCCCCTCTTTTTTTTAGATCCTATAATGTTACAGTTCTGATTTAAAACCACAAAGGAAGGATTCAACATTAAGTAAAAACATTTAACTTATTTGATGTAATCTAGCAAGCAGAACATATTCTGCCCCTTTGATACACTAACACCACACATTAAATCTAGGAAAGAAGATTTTTTTCTGTCCAAGTAGAAATGTTACACATTGCAGTGATTACAATTACACTATTGAATGCATTAGATTTATTAACCCATAATAGGAAACCTTTACTGAAGCTATACATTCATGCATACACAATATGGATAATTTCAATGTCCAAGCGCCTGATTGTTCCTATGAATCAAGTACATTAATGTCTAAATAACCTAAATTGTACCTGCAAACAATTGAGCCCCTTCTCCTGCCTATTTGGAGACACTATCCATGTCCTTAGCTTATCTTACCCTCTCACTCTACTCTGATGTTGAGAGAACCAACACAGAGTATAGAGGTGTAGAGTGCTTTTAGGGCCTTTAGCACCTATAGAAGTGGGCAGAATTGGTTTCATTTAAGTTCTTTTGGGAATGATATGCTATGCCAATTCATTGAACATTACTGAAATAAGGAGCTTTAAAAATAAATACAGACGTGACCAATATAATAGTAAGTAACAAACCATAAGAATCCCAGGTAGTACCCATTTCATATTCACACTATCGATTTGGAACACGTATTAGGTTTTTGACACCTCATCCGGAGATTTCGAAATTAACAAACTGCATATGAACTTCATGATGGCAAAATTCTGAACAATATTTCTCATTAGGTTCCTGAGAAGCCATCATTCCTTTTTACCCTAGACTTCCAAATATAGACACATCATCCTATATTCTGTATTTGCAGAAAGCATCAGGAAAACAGGGCTGCTGGTTCAATAAAAAGTCCATATCTCAATTCCGCTATTGGCCACCGATCAGAATTGTAATTTAAAAAAATTTCTGGCTCCTTATGAATCAGTTTTAGATCAAGGCATCTTTACTGATAAGCAACTTCACACATATCTGTCATCTACAAAGAAAACTCAAATCTAAGACTGCCTGTACTGCTAAAAATACAAATATAGACATATACATGGCATTGTCCAGATGTATACAAGTAGGAGGAATAGAAAAGGGTTCTAATTTATATGGGATTTCTTCTGGCAAAGCAACAACTAAATTTGTCCTTTTTCATATTTGGATTCATAAGTCACATTTCACACCACTTGTTAAAACTTTCCAATGTTTCTTCTGCCTACTGATACTGGAAACGTCAAACATTGAATGCCACTTATTTGCAATTATTAGGTTTCTTTTCTAAACCCCTTCCCATATACCAGAGACTCGAAAAACAAGCTCTCTTTTGCAAATGCAACAGATAAGAGCTTTTTACATATTTTTCTTATCTTATTGCATCAGAGGTTTTAAATAAACATAAACATCACATTTTGCATAAGAGTGCTATCATCTCACAGAAACGGCAGGACATTTACCCTTTATGATGAGAATCCATACAGCAGATTGTGTAAAGTCAACACAGTACCGCATTTGGACTCCAAAGAAATGACTGTATATCCAACATACATAATTTATGTTCTACCAACAGAACAGTAGATAACCAATAAGGAGAATAATTTGCATCTCTTAACTGCACATATGGGCTGATGGGAAAAATTACAGTGTTGCTGGTTAAATGACATGTACTTTAACATTTAATTGAATAAAAGTGAACCACTAAGTCTTACCATCTGTTTCAGCTGAGAAAGAAGAGAGATATCTACATTCCAAAGCTAAAGTGAAGTTGCTTTCTTACTTTTTATTTTTACTTCCATTGTTTAGCTTAAAAATTACTGGGGAGTTTAATTTGACATAGGGATAAACACCTCTTTTGCAAGAAGCTAAATATATGAGGAAATTCACTGAAAGCCATCTTAATTCTGGTCAGAAACTTCCACACAACCTTTCAAAATTCTCTCAGTCGCTATTTTTACAGGTTTACATATAATTAAAGTATGATAAGGGCACGTATTTTTCCTATCTATGAAAAATATACAGTACATGTAAAGTTAACAAGACACCAGACGTTCACAAATCAGATTGCATCAATTATTATTGTAACTCACATAACACATAAGAGACTCCCCAAGATGAATTGCTAAAGTTCACATATTAAGATGCTGGACTTACCTTGCATTGCCCAGACACACAGACTGAAGTTCCATTTTGATCACATGGCGTGCCGTCTATTACTTTTTCAGCTTGTCTCACATAGAACCGGTAGCCTATTGCTCGGCAATTCAGTTCACACTTCTGACTTCCCTTCACTAAAGAAAGAAAAAGGCATAAGTTCCTGCTACCAAGTCTACAGATGTGGTTTAAAAAAAGAAATTAAATATTAGGCTAAGACCTTACCACTGATTTGGAGAGGAAAAAAACCAAGTAGGCAAGTAGTCTATAAATTTCCTATCTATATCAAACAAATATTGGATAGGAAAATATCATTTTTTAACCTCAAGATTATTGCTGGTTTTGGAGAATTCTACAGAAGATTTTTTAAAACAACAGAATAGCTTTTCCAAACACCAGCCTTATAAACCCCTGGCCTTCACTCCAAGTAGTTTGAATGTAATACTGTAGCTGAGAGAGAGACCCAGAAAGAGAGGAACACACACACATATTATACAACTAACACGATAAATGCCTAACTTCATGGCTCTGTCACCTGGTACTGATTGTTGCTTCCCTTTCCTGTTCCTATTCCTTTGTCTACATGATTTCTCTTCGGATTAGAAGTCCTTCAGAGCAGAGACTGTGTCTTCCCTTCTGTCAGTCAGTGAACTTGGGAGATATAAAATTAAATAACTAAAACAACAATGGGCCCTAACGAAGAAAGGTCAGCGTAGAATGAAAAACTAAAAATTGGATACTTTGGGTTGAACAAAACTCTCCTCTAAGATCCTGACACTACTAAGACCATGACACAGCAAAACACTTATGTACATACTTAACTTTAAGCGCATACGTAGTTCCATGTTCAATTCATGTGCATAAAGTGCTTTGCTGGATTGGAGCCTAAACCAGACCTTAAATCAAAACTGAGGAAATACATCCTCAAATCTGAGCCCATCAAAATATACTCCAGTACAATTGGGCCACAGCTTATAGGCACCCTTCACAGGCTCATCTGTGATTCTAAAGTCCCAGAGATGGATGATGATAGAGAAAAAGAAAAGAAAACAAAAAAGGAGAACGTGCAGATTCCACCTTAAATCACATCTAAAGAAGAAAGTGCCTGGAAGTCAATTGCTCAGGATCAGCAACAGAGCATTCTTAGTTGCTGTCTCTGAGCTTGAAATTCATTCCCTAAGATGGTCAGAGAAACCCTGATATTGATGAGCTTCAGGTCACATTGAAGTCTTCTCTGCTCAATCAAAATACAACACGTAGTCAGTTTATTTATTATTACAGCAGGTGAGTTCCTGTTGAGAGTTAGGACACTGCCAATTGTCTGAGTCGGTTTTAGTGACCAATATTTTTGTATGTTTTTGATTCTGTTGGAAAGTGCGTAACTAGACAAATACTTTAATAAATAAAAGCTGCACTAATAGCCAGTTTGCTCTGCAAATATGTTATTTAGGAAATGAAAGCAGGAAGAGTTGTCACCATTACGGAGGTTCATTTGAGGTGGACTGGTAAGAAGTTATAAAGTGTATTAATAAGGGACGTCCGTGGGAAGGCACAACAGATTATACTAAAGCTGATGGCAATCTGTACATACAAATGAGAGTACATGACTATGTAAGGGTCATAATATATCAGCAGGCAACATCTGTGGATGTGCTAGAGGCAGAGTAAAAGGGCTACAGGCTCAGAGAAAGAAATTTGATATTTTCTACTCCATACTCATCCCTCCATCCCTGGTATCAAGCGGAGGGCCCCAAGGGTCGGTTTTGTTCAATATCTTCATTAATGATCTAGAGGATCACCCTCAGCAAGTTTGCAGATGACACTAAACTGGGAGGAGTGTTAGATATGCTGGAGGGTAGGGATAGGATACAGAAGGACCTAGACAAATTAGAGGCTTGAGCCAAAAGAAATCTGATGAGGTTCAACAAGGACAAGTGCAGAGTCCTGCACTTGGGATGGAAGAATCCCATGCACTGCTACAGACTAGGGACCGAATGGCCAGGCAGCAGTTCTGCAGAAAAGGACCTAGGGGTTACAGTGGACGAGAAGCTGGATATGAGTCAACAGTGTGCTCTTGTTGCCAAGAAGGCTAACGGCATTTTGGGCTGTGTAAGTAGGGGCATTGCCGGCAGATGGAGGGACGGGATCATTCCCCTCTACTCGACATTGGTGAGGCCTCATCTGGAGTGCTGTGTCCAGTTTTGGGCCCCACACTACAAGAAGGATGTGGAAAAATTGGAAAGAGTCCAATGGAGGGCAACAAAAATGATTAAGGGGCTGGAGCACATGATATATGAGAAGAGGCTGAGGGAACTGGGATTGTTTAGTCTGCAGAAGAGAAGAATGGGGGGGAGGAATTGATAGCTGCTTTCAACTACCTGACAGGGGGTTCCAGAGAGGATGGATCTAGACTGTTCTCAGTGGTACCAGATGACAGAACAAGGAGTAATGGTCTCAAGTTGCAGTGGGGGAGGTTTAGGTTGGATATTAGGAAAAACTTTTTCACTAGGAGGGTGGTGAAGTATTGGAATGGGTTACCTAGGGAGGTGGTGGAATCTCCTTCCTTAGAGGTTTTTAAGGTCAGGCTTGACAAAGCCCTGGCTGGGATGATTTAGTTGGGGATTGGTCCTGCTTTGAGCAGGGGGTTGGACTAGATGACTTCCTGAGGTCCCTTCAAACCCTGATATTCTACGATTCTATGAACTCTTAACACAATGCATGAACAAAAATGTTTAAAAAAATCCATGCAAAAAATTGTGCAACTAACAAGACATTTTCTAAACATTATAGTTGAATTACCCAGGGCCAAGCTGCCCTCCACTGTGGCAAAACCCATTTGGACCTGAGGGAGTTTTCTCCAAATTCTTCCATTGAGGTAGGTGTGAATGGGTTGTCAACACAAACAAAATAAACAGGGGCTCTAGCTCCCAAAGAGAGTGGATCACTAGAGACACAAGGACTTCCAGGAAGAAGCTTTGTGTCTTCACATTGATCCAGGGTAGCCCACCATGACCCCTGTGAACAGTACAGATTCGGCATTAGCAGTCACCCCTGGAATCAGTTCCCCAACTCTTATATTTTGCGTGATTCCCTGAGGTGTTTGAGACCACAAAGCTGGTCATCCACCCACCCCTCCCAACTTTTAAAACCTATACCCCATACTTTTATTGCATCTCAGCCCATCATCCAGCCTTCATCTGTAAGTGGTCTTTGTAGATTGCAAATCCTTCAGTGCAAGACCATGTGTTCTTCCAGTCTGCAAAGGCACCTGGCACACTGTTGGTGCCATACCAGCAACAGAAACATTTCCATATAGTATGTTTTTCCCTTCATGATGAAACATCAGCAGTTCAAGTACTGAAGAATAGCTGAGCAGTGCAGCAGACTGTCCTATTACGTTCGGTATTATATGCCCTAAATTTTTGCTTGCTTATTACAAGTGTTCAGCTTAGCCTCGTGTTCTAAATTCTTTCTAAAACAGTCATAAAACTCCTATCAGCACAAACCCCTGTCTCTAGAAAACTTCTTTTTGGCAGAAAGAAAATGTCTGTAGACACTTCTTTAAAACAATCCTCCAGATATCAATGTTTCCTTTCTTGCAAATGCAACCAACATAAAGTGTTTTATTACCGCAACTACAATAATGCGTCAACTAATTTCAATACAGCTACTGTACCACCTTAATGTCAGGCTCGCCAGATATCAAAATACAGTAATCCTTAAATAAGAATTGATTTCAAAGCATGGGAAATACTCAGAGGGTATAATCTGGCCTTCTCAACAAGAGAGCAAAGTCTCCATGGTCATAATGTATATTCAATTAATCCCCAAGTTCAATGGCAAAGAAATGGAAAGAAGAGAGTATTCATCCTGCTACATATGGATGAAAAACATATGGACCAAAGTTGATGTTGTTTAAATGAAAGAGAATCTATCGACCATGCTTTTAAAGGTATAGTGTTATAAAGGGGTAAACTGCTCATAATGCTCACACAGCAGATTAAATACACAACTCCCGTAGGAAATGGATGGCTCATGGATTTAGAAATAAACTAAAAAGCCTTTCATCTTTAAGTCACCAGTTCAAATCCATCCTTAGGTGAAAGTGACAAAATCATTACCATTTCATGGCTGTTCAGTGGCCTGCATGTATTGAGTTAATGATCTTAGTTCAGTCCAACTGTCCATATTGCAACTGGCACTTGCATTACTGATACCTCTGGATGACTCTGTTATTCCTACTAGTAGTTTCTCAAAAATGTGGCTGAGATATGCTAGAGGGCCAGATGAAGCAAGTTTTCCGTGCTTCTTCCTTATTAATCTGTGACTAAACAGAGGACTTCAACACCTTCTATAAGGAATACATTACTTTTAAATAATGCATATTGCAACCACCACTAGGATGTCTGGATATTATGGCCCTGATGTGTGCTTAGCTAGATTGGGGCCTATGGGCTTCATCCACTGCAACATTCCCTGAGGTCTGAGTCAAAAAAACAAATCACACTTGATTTGCAAAGTACTTGAACTTCCTATTCTATTTTAAAGTGCTCAATTTTCCACTCTCCAGGCAGAGCAGGGGTATGGGGAAGAAGGAGAAGGGCAGCACATGTCATTTTGGTAAAGTTCTTGGCCTCTTATGGAAGAGTTTGTGACACATGCTGTTCTTGCTACATATTTAACTGCCCTTTTGAGAACAAGCCAGTTGTAAATCCAACACAAGCCCTGCTGCATTTCTCTTGGGCTACAACACACGGTAAGAAGCTGTAATGACATGGACAGGTTCTGAATTTAAGATGAAAAGACAACGTGACCATATACAAGATAACAGAGTTCCTTTCCCTCTGGGACAGGAGCTCCCAGGGGCTGGTTCACATTCTGATGAATTTTTAAAAAGTAGTTTTAATTCATTTACTTTTTTTGTTATTAGATCCTCTGAGTTACTCCCAATTTATTAGGTGAGATGAAGTCCCATTTGTGTGACTACCATATATAGTTTGAGAAACCCTGATTTATAGCTTTCACTTCACAGCATTAAATTAATGATGGAAAAAATCTGCAAGGGCTCTTAAAGCACTTGAGTTCATTAAGCCTATAAATTGGGGGTGGGGGAGACCGCTAAAGTCAGAAATTATTT